TGTTAATGTGTAGTCGCTCAAGCTCTGACATGCTCCAGGTAGTCCACACACAGGAAATGTTTACCAGGTAAAATCACATATCTGAAAGAGTCCTAATCACCCGAGTTTCTCTTCAGATCAACAGAGCCTCAGAGGAAAATGTGTGTGAGAGAGAAAGAGCTGGCAAAGATCTGAGCTTTGACTTCGTTCATTCAAAGCTTGGAGCCCAGTCTGCATGTCTCTCCACAAAATCATACTATTTAGGCTATAGTTTAACTCAGTCTACAGTTGGATTCATTTTATATTGAGTTTCCCCTCAAATTTCTACTCTCAGACTGATAAAATATAATTAGTGGAGCCCAGTAAGATCATTTTACTCAAACCCAATGTTTTATTGTTCCTCTCTCACAGTGCTCAGGCTTAATCTGCTTTCACGCTGTCCTATCTCTCACACACATTTCACTCTCTTTTCATTAATCGAGAAAAGATTTGATAGTCTATTTAAAGAGATACTACAGCCGAAAAAGACTATTATCATTGTTTACTTGCATTTTATGTTGTTCCAAACCCGTATGATTTACTTTCTTCTTTGGAACACAAAAGGAGAACTATTCTAAATGGAGGATTGTTTTGAAAAAATAAAAATAAATAAATATTTTATATTAATTGACATAGGGACTGTCAATTTCCAAATAAATAAATAAATACATAAATAAAATAATGGACATAGGGAATGTCAAACTCCAAATAAATACATAATAATAAAATAATTTAAAAAACAACATCAACGTTAGTCCTGTATGTCAGGAATAAAAAAACTGTACCTCTGTCATAGTCTTAGTCTTATTTGCCCTCATGTCTAGGTTTTTCACTCTATGATGTTCCATTAATGAAAATAAGTCATACTGTATGGTTTTGGAGTGACATTATAGTCATTAAATGATGACATTTTGGACTGAAGTGAAACTTTTAGGTAAACTGTGAATAAAATTAAATCAAATGTATACAATTATAATTTAATTGGGAATAGTTCAAATTTAGTAGTTCACCATAATCAGTCAGAATTTCTGTGTTTGTGGCTGAACAAAAAAAAATAGATTAATAAATAAAACATAAGTAGTGCCACCAAGGTTTTCTTTCCGTATGCTCTCACTTTCTCAGCTGTGGCCTAGTTCACTGAATTGAATGTTATGTTTAATAAGTTTCATATGTTGACTAAAGTCAGGTGTGCAGTTTTTTTTTTCTTTGTCTTTTATGTAGGGAAGCACGATATTGGATTTTGCCGATATACGATATGCCGATATTTTTCAACTCATTTTGGCCAATACCGATATATTTCCTTTTGTTTGGAAACAACACCAAGTCTCCCCTGTGCAGAAATTATAAGCAAATTATTTTTTACTTTTGGTTAGCTTTTAAAAATAACTTATTTGTTAGAATTAAACAATAATGAAGTTATTTTATAATGACAGTACATTGAAGATTTGAAAATAACTATAAATAAACTACATTCCTTTTAGAGCTTATGATTTGTTTAAAAAAATAAAACATATTACGCATTAATTAATAAATCAGTATATATCAAATTATTTAATTTACAAGTGGCATGTTTCTGATTTTTTTTTCATGTAAGCTATAGCTCCTGACCTTTAAATCAAAACATACTCACTATTTTATGACATCAATTACTGCTTTATTTAATCAGAAACACAGTCTAAATCTTATTTGTGTAGGCTATTTTACTTTTAATTTAATTAGAAGTAGTCCAACAGTCCCCCCTACAGATTAAAACTCCTTACTGAACGGGCGTTAGGACTCTGCATGTGCTATTACTGTTTACTCTATCTCACACCAAACGCATTCTGTAGGTGCATTCTCAGTTTAAATGCAGCTATTCAAACAGTCAATCTAATCATCATTCAGACAAAACTTTGCTTCAAGAATGAGCCACACTGTTGACGTGATCTAATCGCTAGCACACCCTGAGTACATGTGAGTTAAAGGGGTCATATGATGCGATTTCAATTTTTCCTTTTTCTTTGGAGTGTTACAAACTCTTGGTGCATAAAGAAGATCTGTAAAGTTGCAAAGACTAAAGTCTCAAATCCAAAGGGATATTCTTTATAAAAGTTAAGAGTCAGCCACACCTACCTAAAACGGCTCGTTCTAACATGCCCCCACATATCTACCTCACTATGTGGGAAGATTTGCATAACACCACCCAAATGTTCACGCAAAGAAAGAAGGCGTAACTTTTAGTCTCACTGTAGATTTGTTGACACTGCAGCCATGTCGTGAAGATGCTGTGTGCTTCGTTGTGAAAGCGAAACTACTTTGTTTGGTCTTCCAAAAGAGGGCTTCGGCTCACGCTACTCACTCTAGCGCTCACTCTATCCCGGCCTCAGCGCACGCTAAACCGGGGCTTCCCCTCACGCTAGGCCGGCTAGGCCGCCGTTGTGAAAGCGAAACTACTTTGTTTGGTCTTCCAAAAGAGGACACGACTACAAATCAGTGGTTAAGTTGTATTTACAACACTGTTCCAGAAAAGTTTAATCCAAATATCCAGATGTGTGCAGCGCATTTTATGGAGGACTGTTTACTGATCCTGGTAGAGAAGACTACAATGCCGGCTGTTCTGACTCAAAGACTGTAAGTA